TTAAACATTAAATTATCAACTACGAGTTTTCTTTTATATGTACAGTAACTTTTAAACGGCAATGTCGCTTTCAAAAAATTCAAATAGCAAAAAAGGAACTATTGAAAGTGAGCGCCGTGTTTTTCAAGAAAAATGGGAAATCCCTTATTTCTGTTGTGAAATAGAAGGTAAAATTACATGTTTGATTTGTGGGCAAAATATAAGTGTTCCACTTTAGGTAATTATATTGAAATTATTCCTAAATAATAAATATAATTAATTTCCTTGTATCAAAATTTAATGTGTATTTTTATTTTGAAGTGCGGCCCTGGACTATTATTTATAGGGCTGAGGTGGCCATCTGTACAAGTTGAGTTTGACATGCCTACACTGGAGCGAACAGATGTGCGTCTCATTGTCACTCCATGGAAACAAACCCCTTTTTCCGTTTCTGAAATAGTTGCACTATTTACTACACTCCAATTTTTTACTCTATGTCATGTTATCCAAAGAGCGAGAACTTTATAGGAGACAGCGCTTTCTCCTGCAACGTTAGGCTGTGTAGTCCAGTAAAATTCAGCAGACGTTTCGGAAGAATGTGTCACTTCCATCATCAAGGTAAAAGAGTAAGGAAGCAGCACGCGGCAAGGAGAGCAGCCAGCTAATTAATGGTTTCTTGCTTTGCTCACACTTCAAATCTGAAGAGGGAGGTAATATGTTCCTCCGAATCGTCGATTGACTCTCACCAGACTGTAAGATAGATATTACGTCACAAAAAGCTGTATGAAAGCTAGTGGGCAACGATCCGGGGTCCTGGTTGTATCGTACATAAAAAGTACTTGCTAATGTACACTTGCTATGTGTCGAATACATGTGTGAACACATAGCACATGGAGCTGCAAACAATCAAGTTATCTCATGGTTGCAGTATACGACGACGTGCGGCAACTATCAGGTTGCTCCTGGTCATTCCAATTTGTAACCATATCCTAACCAATATTTGGAGTGTTTCAACAACATAATCTTCTTGTACGGGTCGTCTGTTGGGAGCTGTTTTCTGCCGTGTTATATTAGGGCGTTCTTCTTGTATATTTGGCCTTTACATTCTATGACCAATTTTCTAGTAATCCTTGTAGGAACAGCTCTTTACCCTCTACATTATTTAATTTCTTGAGATTCAACCTCGCTATATGAACTCTGTGCGTTGTTTGTTTGCTCACTGCCAGTCTTTCCCTAACCTTTGACACCATCAGGTAGTGGTCAGTATCACAATCTGCTGCCCTGAATGATCGGACATCAAGTATACTTGAGTGCCGTCTCCTATCTATCAAAATATGGTCTATTTGATTGGGTATCTTCCCATCAGGGGATGTCCAAGTAAACAACCACACATATCCTGTGTGAATGTGAGGCCTTAGCTTATTTAAGACTACGTCACTTGGGTCAATACTTTATGGAACCAAGTGACTATTTCGACGCCCCCACGTATAAAATCCTGCGCTTCATTCGAAGCGCGGGATTTCTGAGGGGATAATCAAAAGGGGAAGCACAATAGACCACTGTAGGTCGCGGTGTAAGGGCTGTCCGTGACTGCGTATTCAATATATTCGCAGCTTCCCTCAGTACCTGGAGGGCGTCTCCTCCATCCGCTCCGCAGCCTAAGGACGCGCCATGCCGTGGTGACAAGGGACCCACCTAAGATCCGCAGCCTGAGGACGCGCCATGCCGTGGTGGCAAGGGACCCACCTAAGATCCGCAACCTGAGGACGCGCCATGCCGTGGTGATAAGGGACCCACCTAAGATCCGCAACCTGAGGACACGCCATGCCGTGGTGACAAGGGAACCACATAAGAAGGTCTGTAGGTAAATAACAGGAGAAAATTACTAGTAAAATGAGATTTAAGGAGGTAGTGTGTGAGATTACTGACTCCTAAGCAACGACGCCGTGCAGACTGGTAGACAGTTACCAGCATTTTCGAGGCATCATGTTTATTTGAAAAGTGGTAACAATCTATTACTGTACACGGCGTCATACTTAAAAAGCAGTACTCTTCATGCTCACCGCCGTGAGTAAATTAAATATGTGTTCTGCGTTCAAGCGACTCGGGATCGAGATCAGGACGGGCTTTTGTGAAAACGGTTATGAACCATCGGGTTTCGAAAAAGCACAGGGCTTCCTCACCAACTGAGTGACTTAACTTCTCAAGGACTCTAATCTATGGAGTTCATTAGTTATTTATGTTGGTTTTGGGTCCTCACAGCACTGACCCAAACAATATTTTCCTTTGGGATATGCCACATAGTCCGATAGAAGTCCACCGACGTTTCGAAAGAATATACTGCCTCCGTCGTCATGGAAGAAGAGTTAAACCAAACAAGAAACCAGTAACAGCCTCTATTTGCAGCTTGCTATTTCTCTGCTATCTTCTTTGTTTTGTGGGGGTGATATATTCCTCCGAAACGTCAATTGACTTCCATTCAAAATTGCAAATTTGATTTTTCGGTATGGCTAATATTTACGGACCTATGAGAAATCTCTGCAGTGCCCCTTACGTTGTCATTATCTGTGCAAGAATGTGCCGGATTCCTAGCCCACACTACTGTGGTTCGGAAGTGTTTCTGATGTTTAGACAGAACATTTCGCCTCCATCTTCAGGGTCCAAATATGTGTAGTAAGCCAAGTAAATGCCAGCAGAAGTAGGGGGCGAGGAGTGCGCTCTTTTACTGCTTCGTTTAACATTAAACCCTGAAGATAGAAGCGGCGTTCTTTCCCGAAAAGTGAGACTATATCAAAACTACACATTCTTACAACCCAGGATGACCTATCAACTAACTACATAGAGTTGAGTCCTTCTTGAAAAGCCTCTAGTCTCTCAGATACTCAAGAATTTCCCAGAACAAAAACGTTCTCAAGAGCCCTCGGCGGGTCCCGATACTGAGCCAGATTTATGCAGTCCACGTCACCTCATAATATTTCTCTAAGATCCATTTAAATAATATTTTCCTAGTGATCTCTGTCCTTTTGGTTTTCCTGCTCAAAAGGAAGATGTACTCTTTATGCAATCATAGATTTTTTATCTGAATTAAAGTAACTTAAAACCAATGAGATATGCAAAATTTAAAAAATTTGGACGTGCTTACAGTTATAAATAATTCATGCCAAAATGTTTAGCAGATTAAGGAACTAGTGGGTTTAAGGCGTCCAATGAGTGTCTTCATTTTTCTTCGGGTGCCCTGGAAATTATTTATAGACAAACAGACAAAAACAGACTCCATGGTTTTAGTTCGTAAGAGAATTATACCAACCAAGTGACCGCCGCTTTTCGGCGAAGTTAGTGCCAACTTTTGCGGATAGAGGGTGTCACGTGGTCAGCGTAACGGTTCTCCATGGCCATTAACCTCAGTTTTCTAGACCGGAGCCTCTATTTCCTTAAAAAAGCTCCTCCATTATTATATTTAGGCTGAGTGGAGCCCGTTCCAGACCCAGTACTTCTCAGAAAATCCGGGAATCGAACCCGGGACCTCTTGATCTGTAGCTAGGAACTCTGACCAATAGACCACAGAAGCGGTCATCATTTACGGACATTGACGTGAAATATAGAATCCTTATATCTTATTTGAATTCCGAATTCCAAAACAGAAGCATGAGCCGTTCCAAGTGCGGTCGCTTCAATAACTGTCTGTGATTCAATTGCGCACTTAAATGTATAAAACTGTACGTATGGAGTATACGTGGAGTATACCTCCACTCCAACATCCGTCTTCATGGCGTGGTGCTTAATTAATTAGGGACATATTTGCCTTACCACGTCAGATTTTTACGCATGCGCAGGAATTATTTTTTTTTCAGTTCATGAAATCGGTGAAGAATTTGGAAAATTTTCTAAAATCGAGATCAGAAAGAAAATTTTCTGTACTAGACAAATTTTCCCAATTTAATACACTAGACATTTAACACATGTATTATCTTTTTTGATACAAGATATTCTTCCTATGAATTTTTCATATATCATTACAGTTTGAAGATTATATTCTAAGGCCACAGTGTTTCGTTTTACATTTTGAGCAGAAAGACGTAGATAGAAACAAATTTTGTTTGAAGAGCTGATTCGTGCTGGCGATGCCAAACATTGTGAATTCTTGAAGTTCGAGGTTGAAGAATTGATATTCAAATAGTGATCGAGTTATGTGTACTAAATTTTATCACTAAAGATTTGAGACGGACTTACCTCTAAATGATATAACACTCCTAAAACTTGTCTTTAGAAATAATTTCTAAATTTACTATAAAGTATTTTAGAAATGATTATTTAATTTGTGTCATTAGGTGCGCTGCTTTCCAACCCACCTCACTCCTGAACTTGCATGAGGCTTGTAATCAGGATTACATTCTGACGTGTACCTCACACCTGAAGGAAATTAGTCACAAGATCTGTAACGAAAGTGTCCTCAAATTTCTACTCAGTATTGTTATTTTTATTATTATATTAATTTTATAACCAAATAAATATTGATATATTCTTAAAACTCTACTATTCTTTTACAGATTTAATACTAATATTTTTAAGCCTCACTGCATATAGGCATATAACATATCATTTTCTCATAACTTCATATCAATAGATTTATACAATGTTTATCACATTACAAAATAATTTGTAATCAATAGACAACGCCGATTCCTTTCTTTGCAGCTACGGGAAGTTTCTCGCCCTTCAGAAATGGATTGCCGTCCTGAAATACAAAACAAATGTTTCTGTTTGTACCAGAAAATCATTCAGATCTCTCTACATATAGCAATATTTGTGCTAAGGGAGAACCTGCGATTGACTGACCAAACCTTAAAGTTCACATCCTCGTAAATCTATTTTATATACTCTATCTTGTTATTATACAGGTGAGGCACGCGGTAGCGAAGTTGGTTGAGGCACTATGCTACAAGCCGGAAGGTGGTCGACTCAGCCTCTACAGAACTGAGTACCAGGGATCTTCCTGGGGGGGGGGTTCTTTTATTGTAGAAAAAATACTGTAAATACAAAAAAGGCCCAGGCAATGCCCATCCGCCCTTCTGTAGCACATTCTTATAAATATCTTAGCTTAGTACCGTGGTACTAAATTGTCGCACNTGGTGTAGAGCCCAATCTGGGACTCATGACCAGATATTAATTATTACCATTTGGCAGTTACGGTCTTGTATCTGTGGGGCGCCCTNCTCATGACCAGATATTAATTATTACCAATTGACAGTTACGGTCTTGTTTTTGTAGGGCGCTTTCTCTGACGAGAGAACGAGTCTGTCTTTTGTATATGCTGCTGGCACTCTACATAAAGGTTATATATTCGGTCATCGAGAGGGGAGTAATCATTTGTTTCAGCGTATCGTGTCTATTCTGTGAGTACTAAGAATATTATGAAGTTGCTATTTCAAATGTAATATATTGTGTCATATTTGCTCAAGGCGAGAATTGTGAAGCCAGCAGAGACAGCCATTGCTAGAGAACAGCTCTGTATATACGTCCGTTGCTACGCAACAGATTTGTATCACGCAACAATGGAGTAACTGGGAAGCAGTGTTTTGTACGCGGTCCGTACAATAGCTATATGATGCAAAAAGAGAACTGTTGGGAGAGTTTTCTCTGTCATGTATGTGCCGATGTGTTATAAGCGGATCAAATGTAAGAGATTGTTTAGTTGTGAGACATTCACCAGCCAGTGAAGACGTAGGAGAAGACATTGTTAGGCTCCGTTACCAGGAAACGGCTAGTGAAAACAAACCGAGAGGACTTAGTACATGCTGTTGTGAATTGCAGATTGTGTGAATAAACGATAGCGCTATAATTGTTTGTAAGTGCGGTGGGTAAGTGGTCAATAAATCCAGTCACCAATCCACACCCCTTGTATAGTCACTCATACACGTGACAATATTGTACAAAGATGAGTGTTTGTGATTGGCTATTCTTTTTAGTTGGAGATAGCGTTAAACTTCGGCCTCGACTAATCATTCGATAACACTGAGGCCTAGAATGTAATTTGGGGCGAACGGGGGGAAGTAAATAATACGAAATATTATGTATCGAGTGAGACGGGTGTTACATAGATTTGAAATAAGTATATATATATAATTCGTTATGTGTCAACTCTCACCTTTTTGACGTGAAATTTCTTTGCAACCAGATTCCTATGCTGATCTTCAACCTAAAACCAATAAGAGACTTAGTGTACATATACAGAAACAAATAGGTGTAGCAGCATTACTTTAGATTTATATTCAGAAGGTACAGAGTTCGAATCCTGGCAGGGAAAATGACATACTCACTAAAGTTTCTCATGATAACCAGATTCAATTTCAGATGAGTTCATGTAATAACCATCATGGAAGAAAGGGCACTAGAATAGGCCATATACAAGCATTTCTTCGGTTGTACTACACTAACCATCATTACACTATTCCTCCCTACACCACCGCTCTCACTTAGGTACGAGATAAACCTGATCACGCAGCACAGTATCACATCATCGAAATTCAAGCTGGGAGCTTAATTTCTGACGAGCAATTATCTAATATTAGAGAGATTAGTTCTTTGTATTATCTTAAATGGCGCATGCAATAGGATAGTTGGTTGAGGAACTATGCTACAAGCTAGATTCGATTCCCGATGAGGTCTCTGGATTTTTCAATTGGATTAATCCTTCTAGCCTCATTATGGATCTGGGGTCGACTCAGCCGCTAACAGAAATAAGTACCAGGATCTTTCCTGGAGGGGTAAAGGGCGCCCAGCCGGCGAGTAAGACTGACAACCTCACCGCCATCTGTGAGCCGACTGTCCAGAAAGTGTAGGAGCCCCTATGACCTGTTACAGAGATAATTTTATCTTCTTCGATCTGCTTTCCCAGTGGCAGGTTTCTCGTGACAAGTTTGGCATCTGTACACATTACTCGTATACATTATATTTTCATCATGTCCCACCCGCAATGAAACAGTCACACACCCGCCACAAATTTGGAAAAAGAAACATTCCTACGATCAAAAACAAACCCCGTGGTTTTAGTCCGCAAGCGAATTATACCGACCGAGCGACCGCCGCTGGTCGGCGAAGTTGGTGCCAACTTCAGCGGATAGAGGGTGTCTCGTGGTCAGAGCAACTAATCCCCACGGCCGTTAATTTCGATTTTTTAGACCGGAGCCGCTATTTCCTTGAAGTAGCTCCTCAATTGTCATCACGAGGCTGAGTGGACCCCATTCCAGACCCACTAATTCTCAGAAAGAATTCTGGTAGCGCCGGGAATCGAACCTTTGGATCTGTAGCCAGGAACGCTGACCACTAGACCACAGAGGCGGTCCCACCTTGTCATTGAGGGACATAAATCCAGGGACCTGGTCCTCCAGGTTGGGGTTCTGACACAAAGCTGGCGACCTTGCTCTGTGAGACAGTTATAGCTGCGAAATCCAACGAAGTGAAAACCGGATGTTCTAAGCTTCTGAGGAAGGACATGGATCAGAAAGGTGTGTTTCCGAAATGGAGATGATTGTGATGATGAACATTTGGTCAAAGACGGTAAAACCTTAGACATAAATTTATTCATTCATTCATCAAAGTTTCTACGACCCTTTGTTTGGCCCCGTTTCCTTACTTTCAGTTGGTAGGACTCCTTGGGTGGGGCATCAGCCCGTCGCAAGACCCCTGCATAACACAGACACAGGCATATATACATCCGTAGGATTCGAAATCACGACCCGAACTTTCGAGTAGGTGAAGGCAGATCATGCCTTAGACAGCGAGGTCACAGTGATCGGCCTTAAGTCCCAATGAAATAATTAAATCGATAAAGAAGTTGAAAGGGAATCACCTGGAATTGCTCCATGATTCGATCCAAGTCAGAATCTGTGAGATCATTTCCGGCACCGGGAGATTGGATCTCCCTCCCGGAAGACGCCGGACAGTCGAACATATGTTCCGAGTCACACATGCACTCCTGGGCTGACTGGAACTCACGGCTGAAACCAGCTGTGTTCTCAAACTGCTCCAAACAGCCATCATCAGCTGAGTAGCCTACAGGACACGGGTTCGGAGGGTTGCAGTAAGCTGGTAGGGATGCGTCTGTCTTTACCTCCTTCGAATTCTTGATGGCTCCGTCCGGTTTCAGGCGCTGCTTACCTTCTCCAGCGCCTCCTTCGCAGAAAATCACATGTTATCAACTCATCTCCATGCGGTTGCGATCAATTACAGGTACAATGTTGCAATTAATTTAATGACGGTGTCATTAACTCAAATTATATAGCGTTAAATGTTAGGGCGATCAGTGAATATTTGCCAAGAATTGGTCTGCACTGTATGCAACTTCAAGTTTATTAATCTGTTTACGAGAATCCGTTACCGTTCCCTATCCTGAGCCACTGCGCAGGCGTGTCTTTAACAGGCTCTCACCTGCCATATACTGGTGGCCCCACAGAGTGCTATGCTGCAGGTATTCTTGGTCTCGTATACTGGGGTTGGGATTCCCCGAGTCTCCCAGAGGATCATAATCCACAGGAAACTGTTGTTCCTCTGTCTCAAGGTCCTTCACATTTCTTCCTGGCATCATGGCGCCGAGGGAGATCCTGCAGCATAAACAGTGTCACTTATGACAGAAACCGGTAGGGCTACCGGCATTATCATCTGCTGCGGCGTTTCCTTGGAAACCATCAACCACGACGCCACCACCCTGCAGAGGGCGTGCACAAAATGCACTGAAATGGCTATTGAAACAGAAATAAAATATATTTCTGAAGACTAATATGTCCCCTGTAGTGTGACAAAAGCTTAAAAAGGTTTCGGAGAAATGTACCACCTCCATCTTCAGGGTTTACCACTTTGCATTGAAAATGGAGGCAATATTTTCCTTCCAAAGTCGGTAAAGTTTCGCCAGACTACAAGAAACGTCCCAAGAGGTAGTGGACACCGCTGTGAAAATTTTGCATGTAACAAAATAAGTATTTTTTATAGATTTACTTTTATTCCATGTAAGAAGAACACAGAGTGAAGCTGGATCTAATCTTATTCTAATGTTGAAGTCAATAACTCATATATAACTCACTCATGAAACTGAGCCCTTCTTGAGAAGCCGCCAATTCTGAAGCTACTTAAGAACTTCCCAGCATTTTATGGAACCCGAAGGTTCATTACCGTGTTCACAAGAGCCCTCCATTGGTCTCTATCCTGAGCCAGATCAATCCAATCCATACCATCCCATTATATCTTTCTAAGATCCATTTTAACATTGTCCACCCACCTACATCTTGGAGAAGAGTACAAGTTATGAAGCTCCTCATTATGCAGTTTTCTACAACCTCCTGTCACTTCATCCCTCTTCGGTCCAAATATTCTCCTCAACATCCTGTTCTCAAACACCGTCAGTCTATGTTCCTCCCTTATTGTCAGAGACCAAGTTTCACACCCATACAGAACCACAGGCAAAATTATAGTCTTGTATATTATAATTTGTATATTAAAACTATGAAGAAATTGTTCTATGTTAGATTTGACGTTCCACAAGTTGTGACTATGATGAGTAGCCATATTCTGAGACATGACGCCGTCTTGTCCGTTAGACACTCGACAGAACTTACTGCCTCTATTCTCAGGGTCGAAAAATAGGCCGATCAACAAGCAAGAAAGAAATAGACATCTGAGTCTTTCTTTCTTTAGCGATTTATTCTTTAAAACTGAAGAAGAAAGCAATATGTTTACGAAATTAGACCGCATTACATGGCTCCACATTCCAGAATATTTTATTTCTGTTTCAAATGACCCAGCGCAAAATGTCACTATTGTCCTTATTCGTTATAGGCTTATAGTTAGGTTGTTAACTTATTTATGAAATACCTGTTAGTTTCGGGAAAATCAAGGTATGCTCCTGTGTCATCAGCGAAGTCCTTGCTCATCCTGTCAACAACTTCTCGCAGAATGACATCAGTCAGGAAATGATCCTGGATATGAGAGACGAAAGGGTGCATTTTTGAACTGAAGTTAAATTTTAATATGGTTCTTCTTTCGAAATATTATTTATATGAAGATATAAATTACCATATAAGTACATTAGTTATACTTAGATGTTGGCCGCGCCATAGCTCAAGCGGTTAGTCGCTGCCTTCCCATCGCGGCGGCCCGGGTTCGATCCCGAGTCTGATCAAGTGGGATTTGTGGTGGACAAAGTGGTGTTGGGGCAGGATTTCTCCGAGTACTTCGGTTTCCCCTGCCAATCTTCATTCCACCAATTGCTCCACAATCACCCTCACCTATCATCTGAGGCTGGTACAATAGGCCAGAAGTGGCCGCAGTACAAGGGACTTAGTCCCACCGCACTAGCAATAAAAAATACTTAGATGTTAATTTAAATAGTGTTTTAATACGGTTGTTGTAAACAAGTCATAGCAAATACATGAGTCAGGCAACTCCATAACTTAATTATGTATTTGTGCTATTCTGAAAACCCACAGCGTATAAATCAAATAAAAATATTCATTTGGCATGCGGATGTCTTGGTGGCAAGCTGTAGTGTATTTTTGAGGCACTATGCTACGAGTTGGAAGGTCGCGGATTCGATTCTTGATGAGTTCATTTGATTTCTCAGTTGACCTAATCCTTCCAGCCGCACTATGGCCCTGGGTTCGACTCAGCCTCTAACAGAAATGAGTACCAGGAATCTTCCTTGGGGGGTAAAGGGCCGTCGACGAGTAAGGCTGACCTCACCGCCATCTGTGAGCCAATTGTCTAGAACCTCGACGTCTCACAACCCTGTGGGCCTCCACGGCCTTTTACAGAGATAGTTTCTTTTACGTGTCTTCCCCTAGAGACTTTTTACCTTCAAACCATAGTAAATACTCACTTAGCATGTAAGTGTCTTACCTAGCATCTTACTGCCTTTAAACAATATCAAATAAGAATTTGGAACGAGGCTGTCCTATTCTAGAAATTCGCTGCCCTTAAATCACAACAGATATGGAAGTGCCCTAGAACTCCACTGACTTTAAATAACACCAAATATTAATTTCGAATGTGAGTGAAGCTTGAATTCTTATTGGCTGTGCAACAGTCGATTCGAATTTTAAAAACACCTACATCAAAGCCGAAGTTTTATATCTATAAAATACACAATAACGAATTTGGAACATTGAGTGACTTCCTACAGTCTGGTGGATGGGCATCAATATTTCAGAGGAGCCTCTTCTGTCAATCTCCCTTTATAACTTCAAGACTGAGGCACAAATTGCCTCCGAAACGTTTATGCCTATGTAACACACTACATGGCATCGAAACCCAGAAGACCATAGCTTTAATGTTCACCATAGTAAGAACTTCTCGACTCACATGTATATACAACATACTGCAATAAATTCAGGGCTGAATATAGAGGTATGTGGGCTCCGGGGAAATACACTAAAATGGGGAGGCCCCTATCATTAAAAAAATTAGTTTACAAAACGCCTTTTTTGTTATTATTTATTATAATAACTAAAAATGCAAACAAACTTTTCATGAATTTAGAGAAGGAAATGCCTCAATAAAATCTGCAGGTTCTACTTCTGTTTCGTGGAGGTCCCGGGTGCGATCGCTGCAGTCATTCCGAATTAAATCCAGCCCTGAATATATTTTCAATCCTTCTTTAATCTCACCTTTTCTTGTGGGATGTACGCTGTTGCCCCAATCACCACAACTGCCATGGTGATCAAACTAATATGTCCCATTTTTGCAATTCTCCTGTAATCCTGAAACAAGCGACAAATTGCGTAGTTCCTCTCATTCTCACAGTGGCGCCACATGTCAAGGTTACGGTAAGTGCTGCTTTGAATTTCCAGAAGCTTCTTCCCAGTTATCTGTGGCTCATTTAATGAAACTGTCAGTAATTCGGGCAGTAAAGCTTAAATGATTGAGTGATACTGAACATGAATTGGAAGGTATCTGGAAGGAAGCAGCCCTGGCCTAATTTATATTCACAATAACAAGCCTTTAAGGACTGAGCGAAACCAAAATATTCCTCAGTCAAGGTATTTAAGTGTACTAGTCGAGATTCTAACCAAGAACTTCGTGAATTACCTCTTGAGTAACTTTCCTCTGTGGTCTTGTGACGCTGTTTATACTAACAATACAAATTCGACCGTCAATGCAACTGTAATTTATTACGTTCCATTACATGTTTCGACTCTTATAGGGTCATCCTCAGGTGTTGATTTACACATTTTCATTATCGAATTGTATGTATACAAGCTTTAGAGTTCAATAATGAAAATGTGTAAATCAACACCTGAGGATGAACTTATAAGGGTCGAAACATGTAGTGACACATAAGTTAATAAATTGTAGTTGCGCTGACGGGCGGAATTTGTATTATTATTTATGTTCCCGCAAGAGGGCGGAAATTAACGGCCGTGGAGATTCGATGCGCTGATTATGAGACACCCTCTATCCGCTAAAGTTGGCACTAACTTCGTTCACAAGCGGCGGTCGCTCGGTCGGTATAGTTAGCTTGCGGACTCAAGCAACGGAGTTTGTTTTATACTACTCAGAATTACTGGGTTTTCGGACTTTGCCCATCTTCCGGTATTCTAGAAAGTAGAAAATACTGCGTTTCAGAAACTGGAACTATTTCCGTCCTTAGGTGAGGAAGGAGACACCTATCTCTGTCGGATCCCGTAGAAGAAGCTAATATCAATCTAACGGGGCCCATACATGTACGAGTCTGGCTCGCGAGTCCGACTTGGCTCGGGTTCCAAAGAGCCAAACTCGTCCGTGTGTGGGTCGCCACGCTCATATGTGTGTGGTGAAATTAATCGGAGCCCGGCTCCTCGCCCAGCCGGACTCGCGAGCCAGACTCGTACGTGTATGGGCCGCCTAAGGGAGCTAAAAGAGTAGGTGTCTCCTCCTCTTTAGCTAAGGACGGAAACAGATCCAGTTCCCGGAACGTTGCGTTCTCAAGTTTTTTAGAAAACGGAACGATGGACAAAGCCCCAAAACTCAGTAATTTTCAGTGTTATACACCATCGTCAGAACCCTTCACATTATATTATTTATACTATTATAAATATACCCTTTTGACTGAATTAACTGCACAGCATCGAATGATAAGATAAATATGAAATGTGATCCGTAATAGAAGTATATTGTCGTGGCCTATTTAAAGTATAAACACCGCTTTTGTATGGAAAGCATGGGGACTAATAATACTAATCACAGTAAGTATAAGGAAAATCTAACAAAATACCACCAAAATGAAATAGAAAATTACTAAAAATTATACATTTTCTTCGGATATGAAATGCAACATTATAACCAACAAAAATATTACAAACGAAATAATTAATTTAAAGAAAACTTAAAGATATATTTGACACCGGAACACTTTATTCTAAAATACTGATAATTAGATTTATAAATAGAATAAGAACGATTGCTTTGTGATTCGAAATTCAAAGGATTTAAACGTATTTCAGCTGGAAAACAACAAAAAGTTAACAGTACTATATTCAACAGACATCAAACTTATATTTGCTTGTCCGTGCACGTTTGCCAAATGTAATCATTGTCATGCAAAGTAACCGAGTCAGAAGCTCAACTTACCTGTTTGCGGGACCAAATATGGCGACAGCTTGATCAATGCAGTTTTCACCTACATCCAGGCCCAGGAAGTGACAGTATTGATCGAGCACAGCCGCTCCCAGACCATATATATATGTTCTTTACTGCGCCATTTTTGGTCAGAATATCATATTCCCCTATTACTGAGATCTGGACCTTCCCAACACGAATTCCATTAGACTGGAGCCTGTTTTCCAGACGCGAAAATTACAGTGTAATAGCTAACTTCATGGGGTATAGCCCTGTAAAGACGCTAATAGTCGCATATCCGATCAAGAAATTCACGATCTTTTATGGGTCCCACCAATGGTCCATATCCTGGCGAGACAAGTCAATTCCATGTATTCGTCTTCCAATATCCATTTTAATATTATTCTCCTTCATTTACGTCTAACAAGTAGCACTTCCTTTCAGGCATTTTTTCGGACTCGAGGCGGCATTGTTACGTACGTCCATATGGGTGCAGTCAAGAACAGTCAAATTAATTAAGGGTGCCGTCCCGGCGAAATACAGGCCGCCTTTCATGAATCACTGCATACCCTTCCATACGAGATATAAAATAGATTTTATCGATGAGTTAAAGGATTGAATTTACGAGATCTCCGGTTAATATAATAATAAACTGCAGAACGTTAACATATCACATATCAATTATATGGTGGGTCACGAATGAGCGAATATTCTTTTATTTAGTGTATCGTGTCTATTCTGTGAGTGCCTATAATAATTTAAAATGGATATATGAAGTGTAGTTAGAGATTTGGGAACAACGACAACAGATCGAAACCTGATTCGGGAGGAAATTAAGAGGAGACTGACCTCGGGTAATGCTTGCTACCCTTCAGTTCAGAACCTTTTCCCTTCCAGTCTGCTGTCTAAAAACATCAAAAATTAGAATATACAAAACTATAATTTTGCCTGTGGTTCTGTAAGGGCGTGAAAGTTTACCTCTGACATTAAGGGAGGAACATAGACTGAGGGTGTTTGAGAACAGGGTGTTGAGGAGAATATTTGGACCGAAGAGGGATGAAGTGACAGGAAGTTGGAGAAAACTGCATAATGATGAGCTTCATAACTTGTATTCTTCTCCAAGCATAATTAGAACGATCAAATCAAGGAGGATGATATGGGCAGGGCATGTGGCACGAATGGGGGCGAAGATGAATGCATACGAGGGGGGACCCAAAAATAACCGGAATT